TAATAATAATAATAATAATAATAATAATAATAATAATAATAATAATAATAATAAAAATAATAATAATAATAATAATAATATAATAATAATATAAAATAATAAAATAATAATAATAATAATAATAATAATAATAATAATAATAATAATAATAATAATAACAATAACAATAATAATGATAAGAAAGAATAATAACAATAATAACAATAAAATAATAATATTAATAATAACAAAAATGATAATGACAATGCTAATGAAAATGAAAATAATAACAACAACATAAACACCAACAATAATAATAATAATAATAATAACAACAGTAGCAGTAACAATCTTAACAATAATAATAATGTTATCCATAACAAGAATGCACTTTGCTGTCATTTTGAGATATCAGAGTGCTATTATAAACCCTGTGTGTGACATTCCCTTACTTACAGCAATAAAGTTATACTTGTCTGAAAAATAAAAAAAAGTAAAAAATAAATAAATTTTGCTAAAGCAAGATGAAGGATTTAGAAACAATTAGATTATTTCTAAAGGTCTTACTCAAATGATTAGACGGATGAATCTAAGAATTGCAAGGAGAGGCAGGGCCTTGGCTATAGTAGACAGCCAACCAATCATTTTCCAACGTACTTCAGCAGTGGAAAAGCGGATGAACAAACCAGTAGGAAAGGAAGTGACGCAGGTAAAGGAATCTCAAGCCAAAAAGAGAGCGAAAAACACAAAAAAAGAAAAAGAAAAATGTGTAAGACTGAGAAGAAAAAGCAACAATAAAAAACAATCAATGGAAAAAACTTATGACCAATAAGAAAAATTGGCAGAAAAGTATGAAGTTCCCACAGGGATGAAACACTATTGAAAAAGAGGCAAGTTAAAGATAGTGAGACAAAACATTGCCAAAATCAAATGAAATATTGCACACCACCAAATAAGATTAATAAAATAAAGAAATAAAACTCACCTTGTAAACAAGATTTCTAGCAAAATGCAAAAAAGAAAAACAAAAACAACAATACTGTAAGAAGGCAACTCCTTATAAAGAGAGAAGCGTAACATTACCTGACCTTATTTTCACATGATTCAGTGCACGATTTAGCAAGTTTATGATACATAGGGAAAACAACAACAGGAATACATAATACTGTACCAAAAACTGTATCTCATATATGTTGTAGAAAGATCAAAGGTGATTAATCAGTTCATCTAAGTAAAGGAAATAGGAAAAAAAAAGCAGATTTACCTCTACAAAAGCATAGAAAATATCACATTATGCCATCAAAATTCAAAAGAAAAGCCATTTCATCTAAAAATTTTGCCTAAAAGAACTAAAAAAAAATGTAGTAGAAAAAAAAAATCCTATACCCAAGAGTACAGATACTATGAAATGAAGCACAGTTACAGTGATAAGAAAATACTAAATTTGTCATGTGACAGCTCCTTGTTTCACTATCTGATGTGGATTCTGGTTTGACTTGAAACATGACAGATTTAGAAGTCCTCTTCATATAATGCCTACGTTTTATTTCTTTTCATACACATTATCATGTCTGGATTCTATATACCCTATATTGCCCAATTTTTTTTAGAACATTTCCCACATCTCAAGGAAAGTCACATGTCTTTAAATGATAAAGCAGTTGAATAAAAATTCCAACTAAATTACTTCCTTTTTATACAAGTTTCCGGACTTTTGAAGTAATTGATCTCTATTTCTGTCTTTAAAAAAAGGTTATTTCTGCAAATGAAAAAAATACTCAAAGAGCATACTTTACTCTGAAAATAATAACACAGAATTTCTAGCAAAATTGTTTTGTATGATTTGACAAAACAATTTGTTACTATACAAATGATAACATAATCTCATGAATCTATAATGCTGCTTGATTTTTCATGTATCTTTACCATGTGAAGCACTGATGTAAATTACCATAATCTTTGTATTGTATTATGAACTATAGCCTTATTCAATAATAAGAACCAGACAATGATTACTTATGCCATCATCTACTATTTCCTACTATTCCACATAAATTCCTTTCTTTTAAACAAAATGGAAAATTAGTCAGAGCAAAACAGCAAAAGACTATTCATTACACTATTAAAATATGAAATCATAACCTTCACCTATAACATAGAATATGTAATTCAATTTCTGTCTTTAAATATCTTAATGTTTTGATCAATATGAGCTTTCATGATAAATGTATAATGTGTATACATATTTTATATTCAAAAAAATTGTAACAGTCAAAATTTAGAGGCCTATAAAGTGTACAAGTACTTTATATTCTTGAAAAATTGTAAATAATGATCAGAATTTAGTGGATCATTCATGAAAATACATATGCAGTTATTATTCATAAAAATGACACTTTCTAATGGTAATAATAATCATAAAAATAAAGAAGTATAAAACAATTTTCTTTAATACACTAAAATTCATCACACTGCTACATGCTAACACTGATTTCTTTAATGTATTTTAAATGTCCATTTCGGAATATGATATAAAAAAAACTATATTGTTCCTGAAGATTTTATAGGCTACATATATTAGGCAGCATTGTCTTCTTTTATGTAACGATGGATGGCCATTAAGGAACACTAATCCTCTTGAATAATAACTGCAACATCTCATTTTCAAACATCTAAAGGATAAGGCAAATATCAAGATACAAACATTTCTCCAACAACCATGTTTGTCTACATATTTGGCATACAAAACATTTATAGAATTTTAATGATACAAATAATAGTTAATATATTCCACTTTGTTCTGTGAAAAAATGCAATTACACCAACAACTACTTCACATCCTAAATCTACTAAAATAGGCAAAAATAACATCACTAAGAACTGATAAAAAAGTCAAGAGAGAAATTAGAAATACTTACCAATAAAAGACAACATTAAGAATGAAAAATAATACTACATGAGACATGTACTGATAGGTAAGTACTTCTCTTTCAGCAAACATATAAAACCTCACAAAAGGCCAATCTACTCATATATCAATCTAGCAAACAGAAACAAAGCCAAGGCTATTGTGGCCAAACATTGTTATTCGTTCACATTAGTACCAGGATGCTTTAAGCTAAACTTGAAACTAACAAGCCAGCTGGAGACATGTGTTGCACTGGCTGTAAAAGAATGGCAATCTGCACAATGTACAACTGTTGATCACAGCTGTACTAAAGTTTAGTAAATATTATGTGTTAGCTACACATGAGCTATTTTGCTCCTTACTGGGCTAACAGTGGCGACTCCTTGGTGGTCCTGGGTGGCAGTAGTATCCTGATGCTTGGTGTCTTTGTTTGTATTTATATCACATACTTCTTCTGCTGCCTCAGCAAGAGCAGCTTCTACTGTCTTTGTTACAACTACATCCTGAGAAATAGGCACTGGAGAGGCTGCATCAGTTTTACTAGTTTCAGCTGGAATTTCACCTTGGGGCACTGATGCCTTCATCAAGTCAGCCTCTACAGACTCCTGAGTTTTTTCTTTTTCTGGTGTGGATGTGGGAGATGGTGAAGGTGTATGTGTAACAGTGGCTACATATACTGTGGTGGGCTGTGACGCATCACTTTGGGTTTGAGATCTTGATGCTTCTGTCACTTGTTCACTTGGCTTTCTGGCCTCTTCTCCTAGCTCACTAGGAACGACTTTAGTGTCAGCAGTCTTTGGTAGAGATGAGATGCTGGGGCTACTTGCAGCCTCCTGAACTTCCTGAGGTTTAATAAGAGTATCTGAGTTGGTGGTTGCAAGCAGATCAAGAGCAGCACGAGTAGTTGCAGCAGCTACTGCTTCAGCAATAGCCTCAAGAGAAGGGCTGTCTGGAAGTGGTTCATTTCCTGCCTCCTTTTGAACTTCTTTGGCTTCCAACTCTTGTAAAGCACTTTTATCATCTTTTGAAAACTGGTCAGATGTTTCTGGAGCAGTGTGAGATCTGTCAACAAATTCAGTTTCTTTACCAGTCTGGACACTCTCTTCTGTATATTTTCCAGCCTCTGGGATGTCCTTTTCACATTTAACTTGTACTTCTGTTACTTTATTTTTGTCTATTCCTAATTCTGATTTGTACTCACAGTCTGTTTTACTTTCTTGAGAAATGGGAGTTTGAGCTGTTCCTGATCCCGGCTTTGCAGTCACTGTTGTTACATTTTCTGTCTTTTTACCATTTACAGAAACTGCTGTTAGACTCTCTGGTTTCTGTGAATCTAAGCCTAAAAATGCAAGACTGACATGGCTAGTCACTATACCAGGTACTCCTTCTGCCTCACTTGAATCAATCTCAACATTCTGCGAACTTCTTGATTAGTTGAGTCTCAGAGGGAAGAAGTGCATCTAGCAAAATTTCAGTCACGCCTTCTGTTTTAACTGGCCCATGACTACCAGCTCTAGTTTCAACACCACCTTCATCATGCAAGAAAGAAGTCTGTACACCAAGAACAGCTACTCCTTGTTCTTCATCTGTCTGTGTGCTGTGTTCTTTGCTGACAGCTTGAGGAGGTGTAAGTGACAAGGCTAGAGAAGTCTGAGTTCCCTGACCTTTGCAGAGAACAGCAGAATCTTCACTTGCTGCTTCATCCATCAGACCCATCCTAATACTAGGACAGTACTCTTCTTCAGGAATAGGAACTGGGATTTCTTCAGCAACAAGTGCTTTTTCATGACCATGAGATTTTTCTGCAAAAAACTTCAGCTCAGATATATCTGCACCAGTCTCTGTTGCTTCAGAGGAATCTTCTGCTTCAGCATTGGCACCCTGAGCATCATCTGGAGACCGTTTTGGAGTTCCTGTAGTTATTTCCTTTAGTAGAGGTGCTGGGGATGCCTCAGCTTCATCTGGTGTTCCAGGATCTTCTTTCTGTTGCTTATCATCTGAGAAAAACTTGCCCTGCTGAAGGTTTTGGTCATCAGCAGTATCAGATATAAAAGTCATAAACATGTGGTACTGTCCTTTGTAGCTGGTGTTTCCTCACAAATATTTGCTGGTT